CCCCAAAACCCCAAAACCCCAAAACCCCAAAACCCCAAAACCCCTTATATATTTCAACTCCTTGAAACTATCTGAGTTTAAAATTTAAGTGCCTATTCTTTGATTTCTGGTTCAGGAGCAAGCGATTTTCCTATAACACTTAAAAATTGAGAGAGTATTATCTCTATAGTATCTTTGAGCATTCCCCTGTAGTTATGCTCGTGCTCTATATATTATTATCCTCATTTCATACTATCTAAATTCTGAATTTGTGCCAATCTTCCGATAAACTCAATGAATTCAGTAAATTGCACTTTAAAGTAGCCCTCATAGACTTTTCCGCCTAGATATTACTCAAAATTATACTTGTTTTTGATAGCTTTTTAAGAATCCCAAGCGCTTTTACTTCATCCAGCACTGTCATTTTGGAGTAAGAATAGGCTAGATTTATTTTATTTTCAAGTATATCAACTTCTGCTTCCTTAGTAAGTTCCATTAAGTCTGAATATGACATGAATTTCTTCATTTGGGTAAGATTCCTGCTAAATTATTCCAAAAATACCTTGAATAGAGTAAATTAAGATTTTCAAGATTCCTCTTGAAAAGATCATCGATGTTGAGATTCCATAGCTCCATTTCTCTCCACTTTTTCCAATCAATTCTAGGCTTGAAATGGGTTAGAAGGTTCTTTGTGATCAGCTCCTCTACTGCTGAAGGAATTGAATTGATGATTCCAGGCTCAAAATATTTATTTAATAGCAATCCTCACAAGAACTTCCCAAAATTCGAACCTTGACAAATCTTTTGTTGACTTAAACCGATCAGACACTTTTGTAGCAATAAAGATCCTATCTATATCTGCAAGGCTACAATTTGAGTCAACAATGCTCCATTCTTGACAAAGAGAGGATAAATCTAGCCACGAGAGGCCTGGAAATGAAGATTTTCCAATTCAGTGGATGAATAATTCCTTTAGATTTTCAATATATGCATTAAATATATCCCTAGTTTGTTCAAATTCCCCTTCAGACTTGATGATTCTACTGATTTTGGAATATGAAAAATCCATGTCAACTAAGGCTCTGAGTAGTTCTGGGGTGTCCTCACTCCAGTCTTTAAATACACTGTTAAGTTTTTTAAAAAGCTCTGATGATATTTTCTTTATTTAACTCTTTTAAGTTCTATCTCTGGTTTGTCAAGCTTATATGGAATGATGAGATCCATGCATAATTTACTATCTAGAAGTCAGCAGGAAGGATTACTCAGAACACCGACATCCCAATAACCTATTGAAGCTTGGTGCTTTCCTGGTGGGAAGAAATCAGCGAACACGTAATAATCATCTATTGATCTAATTTTTGATTTTCTAGAGGTTATCAGAATCTTACCTGGAATTCCTTTTGATGTGATTATTTATAATAGTATCGAGGGGGATTACTTCGTGTACTTGATACTTAGAAAAATTTTCTTGAAGCATTTTTGTAGCTTGACTAAAGTCTAATATTTCATCTTCCTCCTCCTCACTAGGAATATTCATTGGTACCCCTATCCTTCCTCTGATCTTTGGCCTTGTTCTTCATAAACATCTGTCTCTTCTGCTCCTTAGTGGTCACCTGCAGAAGTCTACTGGAGGTTTTCCCATTGTAGAGATAAGCTAGGTTATCCATCCTTCGCATTTCTTTATCCTTATCCATCTGAAATTGCTTATTTTCGATGATTTTTCTATATGAGAATCAGATAATAAGCCCTTCTAGGCCACTCTGAGCCCTAACAGCCTTGAGTGTTACTAAATCTGGCTTACTGTAGAACGGTCTTTTTGCCTTTAAACAGTCAGAGTTTGTTCTTCATAGCTCTGTATATATCTTCATTAAGGATCTTTGAGATTTTGGAAAGCAGCGTGCTTGAAGGAGAAATGTAATAAGTGGTCGTAGGCAGGTTGTTCTTCGTGAACCCGTTCAGGTAGGAGGCAAGGGGGATTAGTGGTCTCGAGGGAATAGAGGGTGAAGAAAAGGTAATACATGGTGGAGAAGGATGGCTAAAGGCCATTTCGGATTTTTGAAGGATTAGGGATATATACTGAAAGTTCTCTCACACCCATCATTTCTCGACTTGCTTCCAATGATGCGAAAACGGTATCTCATAATGTCCCAAAACCCTTGTCAAAATCACACTCCTAAAACATCTCACAAATCCTTACTGTGATTTCCCTTCCTTCACTTCCTTCACATTCTCCCCAAATTCCTTGCTTTCTTCCCTCTCCTTCCTATTCTCCAGCTGGTAAAACTGGTCGAGGCTCAGTCCTTCCTGTGCAGGCTGGACAGCTGTCAGAAGACAGCTGTCCGAAGCCTGACAGGAGGGAGGAGGACGACTCAGGTTTAGAGAGGGGAGGGAGGAGAGGTATAAATCCTTGGGGAGTGTTTTACAGTCTGAATTCAAGATCTTTAGGAACCGCTCCTGGAAGGACTACGTATTAACAAAACTCTACCATATCAGTGGTCTTCAAGGTCATATGAATCGAAGTCAGCCTCCTTGAAGAAAGAATGCTGGGAGTCAGATCAAGCAGAGAATCAAGACTTATGTTGGTATGGCTCACATCAAGGTGAAACAGGGATGTACTCTATAGGTAAGAAGACATATACAATTAGGTGGCTGAGAGATTCAATGAATACCAAGTTGTAATCTTTAATATCTAGGTTCAGTCCATTGAGAGAGAGGTAGCGCAAATTCTTGATCTTTTGTAATGATTTTACCACCAAGGCTAAGCTTTTAGGAAATATTTTTCACCATGATAAGTTTATGTCCTCGAGATTGTAATTGTTGCTAAAGAATTGTATCAAGTTATTTGCACTTCCTTCTGTTAAAGGGAGATATGTCAGGACTAGTTTATGCAAATTTTTGTTATTCGGGAGTATTTGGGTCAATTTTTCAACTACTTCAGGCTTCATTAATCAATTATGAATCTCAAGATTAGTTAGCCTATGAAATTTCCCTGCTTGATGAGATTCAGGATGGATAACTTTTGATAAGTATTCTATTCATTTTCGGGAAATCTTTCAACTTCGAATCTAGAATTTAAAAGCTTATATTACATTTCTAAAGATCACACTTGTTATATGAGGGTTTGAACTGATTGTTTTACACATTTTTATGAGTGTATTTTGGGAAATTTTAATGTCATCTAAGATGATACTTTGAACTTCCCCTTCAAGCTCTATAATTTCCTTTCTAAAAATGATCCTCAAATTACCATAAAGAGTCCATATGATGGCTGTTGATTGAATATCCATGAAGCTTGAGTCAATGATCTCTTAGTTTCTCGAAGACAGGCAAAGGTAGCTCATTCTGATCCCTTACCATTTTTATATAAGACACTTGGTTATCCAAGGTATGAAGCTGAGCTTCATTCTTTAAGAAATTCTGCTCAAATGTGTGTTTAAGTATTTCACCTATTTAATCATAACTCATCAATACCTGGATCTCTCGCAGTAATGATCTTCTTAGTTAATTTTCTGAGATTATCTTTCTTCTGCATCTCACTGCTAATCCTCATTGCTGAAGGTATTCCTTTCCTATGGTTTGGGAGGATATCAGAGTCGTCTACTAAGGAGTTCTCGACTATCTTAATGTTGTGGCCCAGGATATTCTCATTAAGTTGTTTAAATTCTTGATTACTTCTACGAATTCTCTCGTCTCTTTCATTATGCTATAAATGTGATGCCAAGGATACGATTTCTTTGTCAAAATCTCTCAAAAATTTCTGTTTCTGGGGTATTTCAACCGAATTATTCATTTTCTCAATTTGAGCATTTACTATCTTCAGCTGGCCTTTCAGATTTTCTTTAAACTTCTTAGGAGTATCCTCAAAAACTAATTTCTTAGGAGGAGGCTTTAGAGAAGATTCTTTAGATTTCGTCAATGGCTTCTTTAGAGATGATTTTGACGATACCTTCTTTACATGTGTGCGTGACTTTGAGTTCATTGACAACACCTCACTTCTTCTACATAGAGTAAGGCTATAATCTTACTGCTTTATGGTGTTTTGGACTTTCATAGTCTTCTGGAATTTCATAGTTCTCTTTAGAGTAATTTCTAGAGAATTATAAGCAATTTATTACTATTTTTAGGAACTTCAATGTCATTTCTCCTGAATTTTTCAGCTGGATATGTGAGTTCTTTGTTTAGACGGAACTTCATTTTGTCCATATTCCGAGTCCTGAAGTTTTTCTTAGCCGATATTATAGAAGAATTCTCCTGATTAATTGCCTGAGACTCTTGAGATTGATCTAAAGTTACTCTAACAATGTACCAAGATATCTTGAGGAAGATCTATTCATCTTCGTTGGTGGAGACAATAAGTTCATGCCTGAGTTAAATCTTGATATTGATAACTCAGAGGAGCTTTTAAGTTTGCTCTCACAGCTTTCTCTAGAGTATCCTTGGGCAGGAATACTTCAAATTTCTAGTCTGGTGCTAGTTCTTCCTCTAATAATTAAAAGCAAAAATACCTGTTTGTTTTGCCAATTTTTCCTAGCTTCACTTTTAGAGATCTGTGAGTTAAGTCTGTCATTATTCGAATTCATCTTTTTCCAGTTTTTGGAAATATTCTTCTGAAGTTTATTTGAGTGCTGAGACTTTATTCTACAATATGAGTTAGATACAAAATTCCAAAATCCCATACCTTATCAAGACCATTGAAAACTTTTTTAACAATTTAGAAGCCTTGAGCTTTGTTAAAGCTATCTATATTTTCTATAATATTCTATTTCTTTTCCTTTTGCTATCCTTTAATTCATTGCTTTAGTTGTTTCAGATTTAAATTGCAGAAGTTTTAAAAACACCATTTATCCTCTATTTCTAAAACTGTTCACAGATGTTAATACTTTATTTACTATAGCAATTCTCTAATATTTTCTCTACTATGAGGACATTAGCTGCCTAGTAATAATAACTTAGCATTTCTCTTTCCTGTTTTACAAAATAGTTTGCTATTATAGTTCCTAATTTATAATGTTGAGAATCTAACACGAATCAATAATGCTTTTCCTACAAATCTTACAACTCTCCGTGGGTTAACTTTATTAGAAAGATAGCAAATTAAATTGAAGAAGAATGATTATGAAACCGCAAATTCTGCAATTTACTTTCTAAACAAACTTTCCTGCAAAAATTAAAACTCTGAACATCTTGAAGACAATTTCTTACTATATTTTAACAATATAGCTAATTTTTTGTTAATGTATTTAATGCATAAGAACCAAACTATCGGAAATAGTCTTATCAAATCCCATAAAATTAATCACCTTATCTTCACAAAAACATACACCTAACCTTCTCGAGTTACAAAACCAACCACTTCACCTACTAAACCCAACTCAAAAGTAAGAAATCTACCTCATTATCTACTAAACTCCACTAACCTAAACCACCCAAAGTGTTTTCACTCCTCTAATTTTAACCCCACAGAACAAACCTTCAGATTGTGAAGGTTTTTTATAAGGTTTCAGTTAAGATTTGATGCTTATAGGTTGTTTTAGGTAGGGAAAATGTGGTTTGGTTAGTAGGAGGTGGGCTTAGCTTACCTTTTATAACTCTTTTTTAGGGTTTCCAAGGGGATAGAGGGATTTAAGTTTACTTTATCCAGAACATATTCAAAGTCTTTGATTTCGTTGTGGATTATAGAGTTGATTTTATTGGCTTTATAATCATGTTTTAATTTTTGGAGCCTAATTCTTCTCTCTAAGGGCCCTGTAAGCTGATTCACTGAGGAATAAAGGTCATTGATATACTCTAGTTTTGAGTCAAAGCTATCTAGCTTAGTTTCAAGATAGGAGTATACCTTTTCTAAGTCTATATATAACCAATCTGATCAATACTCTTTGTGTGGTCATCACCTGTATCAAGTCGGATCTTTCGATCAGATTGTTCTTTTTCATCCTTGATCTTTATCTCAGCTTGCTTTAGGATTTCCTTATTTAGCTTTTTCTTTTTCTCTGAGCTCCTTGTGATTAATTAAGGGAGGGAAGCTAGTCTGAGCAACTTTAGGGCCAGACTCATCTACAAAGGTAGCAAGTCTCTCCTGTAAAGAGTCTTGGTCTTTGAATCTAAGGATTATATTCAAAAAGTACCTCTGAAGATTTTCTTGCTCTCTTATGCTAGGAGATAGACTTTGAGATTTTGTTTGTGTAACGAAGTAATACTGAGGCATCTCCTTGACAGTGTTCAAGTCTTTTACTCTTTCTCTGACCTTTTCTTTGAATCCACTGGCCTTATCAAAAGCAGCTAAGAATTGAGAGGAATGGAAATTACATCAACTCTCAAAGCTTCTGGACATGGAGCGAGAGTTTTTGACCATTTCTTTATAAAATGGAGTCATTTTTACATTCAGAATTGAGTCTATAGTAGCTTCGTCGTCCTATTTTAGAGTCAGAAAAGATAGTACCTGATTTTGAAATTTATTGTTCCTTTTTATTTGAGACTTTCAGCTTTTCTGAATACTTTTTGTTTCAATATTCGAAGGAGTTCAGATGGAATTTACATTTATTTTGAAGCTAGATATGAGGAAGGTAGCTGCACCTTGGATTCTCTGTGTTTTGGATACTGGGAAATTCTAACTGTGACGATCTATTTTTAGAATTTTAGAGTTTGGCTGTTTATCATTTGAGCATACCTTCTTGTTTTTAAGATATTGTTGAAGCTCTTTAGCTTTTGATTAAAGTAAGGTCTATAATTTTTTTTTGAAAAATAAATCATTACTTTTCATAAGAATTTCTATTCGTTGGAAACACCTTCTTATTTCTTTATCATTTCAACACTGTTTGATCTAAATTCAATTCGAATCAAAATCTTAAAACTAAGCTATAACTAACCAAAATTGCAAAATCCAAAAATCCCCTAGTACAAAATCCAACTTTAAACCCTCTCCCTTCATCCAATTCCCCATAGCCTTACCTATTCCTCTCAACCATCCTCAAAACTTCCTCATCTTCCAAATTCCCCACATTTACTACATATTCCTCATCAAATCCCCTCTCCTGAGACCTCCAGCTGCCTCTCACTTGCATATAATCCTTCAAAGAATACAATTTGCCTATAAATAGCCATTAAGCTTACTCATTAATGGTCAATATTTATATAAAATAACGGGGTTTTGGGGTTTTGGGGTTTTGGGGTTTTGGGGTTTTGGGG